TGTATATATATTCTTTTGTACTGAACTGTACTAAATATGCTGGAAAGTCAACAATAACCACTTTGTTTGAAATAATTTAAATGTATGCAGGTTTAATACATCATACCAACATTTCTATAAAATTGTTGCAAATACGTAATATTTTGAGAATCATCCAAAGCCCTAAAAAGTTGTGTATCTTGTCCTACATTATAGCACATACTTTTAAAACTACTCAATGCTCTCATACAGCACATACTTTTAAAACTACTCAGTGTTCTCATCTTCCCATCCAACTGTCAAGAGTCAGGCATGATACAGATATCATTGATGTGGTTGAGTATTTGCTTTTATTTCTATGGCAATAACTGTTGCATACAATTAGTCAAGTATGTATACACTAACTTCTGCTGCAAGTTTTGTGGCTGGTAACAAATTTGATTTGCTGTGCACCATTTTACTCTCTTCCGAAGGGCAGACTTAGATGTGCATTTTGCATGATTGTGCATGTCACAATATTTAGGGTTTTTTTTTCTTATGTGTAATACATCTTTGGACTTGATTGATAAATACTTGGCCCTTATGTTTAATTTTTTTTCTAGTTTCTGCCTTATACAAATCTCTTTATCTTTGATAAGCTGTTGCTTTAAAAATCTTATGTTTTAAAACTTAAATTGTAACATAAAATATTCCCCACTTATTTCTAGATTCACTAATCTATTATCAGCAGGATTTCAACACATTATTGATATATATGCAAAAAAAAACAGTTATAAAAATATGATTTTCAACAGGACACACACGATTTCCATAACATACAAATTGTATTTTTTAAACTTCTATATGAATTAGTTTGTGTATGAAATACTTCCTTTCTTTATTCTCTTGTCACACTCTTAGTTCTCAATATAATTACAGGTTTATAATTTTTGTTCATGATTATTTTGTTGTTATCTTTCATGTGCATTATACTATTTCAGGAGATAGAAAGATTAGTTCTCAAAGGAATCTCAGGGAATGATTGTGTGGATATTGAGCTTGAGAGGGTGAGTGAAATTATCATCTTCTATTTTTAATGCTCTGTATTGGCCATAGCTCAAATACTTTTTGTATCTATTTGTATGATGAATAAACTACTCTTTCATGCTGCTAAAGAAGCAGTATGAAAAAGCAGTAAGCTATTTCAAAACAAAAACATGTAGCTGGGTTTCTTTGATCTTGTATATTATGGCTCATTATTTTACTTTTATTAGGAGTTAATGTTGAGTACTGAGTTTAGTGTTTTGTGTACAAGATTCTAGTGATATATGTTTAGGTTTGTTGTGTAAATATAAGCAAACGTGTAATAAATGGATATTATCTTTTACAGGAATTAGAACCTCCTCCAGATGGTCACCGAGCTCCCATCGCTGACCTCTTTAGGTCTACCACAGTGACATCCACACGTAATGTGGACACACAAACACCCTCTGGTAGAGGAGAAAGTTGCTCCAGCAGTGGTGCAACTAGTCGTAGTCAATCAGTCTCACCAACTGTGCCATTTTTAGGCCAGATGGACAGCTTTCAGTTTCCAAGCAGAGGTAAATCAAACAATGCTGGGCCTTGATGAGCATATTTCCATCTGTACATGTTGTGTGTGTGTGTGTGTGTGTATATATATTCACAGTCATAGAACAAACAGTGTTTATATATGTTAGTTCATCAACAGTAGTAGAACTGATGTGAATAATTCAATGTGTACAATATTAAAGGATAATTCTTTTCAAATTTTAATTCATAACACATACTGATGAGCACAGCTTTGTAAAAAGTGATACTCTGACCAAAGAATACTGGATATCAAGTAACATTACAGGGAATGCTGTCTAATGATAAGTATTTTTGTTGTCCTGGTTAATGATCAACATAAAATGCAAGTAATAAACTGGTAACAGAATGGTAAAGTTACCTGTTTGTAGATATCTGCTTTCTGCCTAATAGCTAGAGTTCTACACAGCATATTTGATCAAACTTCTATATTTATTTAAGTGGTCAAAAGTCATGGTCACAATTTCAAAAAATGTAAATTTGGTTTCTCTGCAGAAAAAACAAACAAAATACACACACAAATACTACTTATTGACACACTGAAACCAAAACAAACAAACAAAATACACACGCAAGTGCTATTAATCAACACATTGAAAACAAAACAAGCAAAGCTAATAGTTGGAATTAGTTCCTAGTTGGTTTGTTATCTAGGATTGTGTCTATTAACTTTTTCAGCACAGGCTTGATTCCTGGGACCGACCTTGTAACCATTTTGTGCTTGTTATAGTTTTTGTGCTATAGGTTTTAAATTAGTAAGCGAATGTTAACAAAATTGGGCAGATTATCAGTAAACTTTACAATGCTTTCATATGCAAAATATTATTATTTTTTATTAAGTCTTAAGGTTTGTAAAGCGATTTTTTTTTCTCATGTCTTTTTTTCCTTTTCACATGTTGCCTGTCTCTCATGCAAAGTAATATTCATTTTAAGATTAAAAATACTTTTATGCATAAGAAAATTTTGAAATTTCACATGCAAAATCTTTATAATGTCCAAATAGTTATCAAACATTTCTTAAAAAAAAACTTTATATTTTATCTGTTATTTTCAGTAATTAATCTTTAAGTCTAATTGTTAAGTTGACTTTTACTCTGTAGATCCCGGTACCAGAGCTTGGAGAAGATCGTTATTTTAAGTCTAATTGTTAAGTTGACTTTTACTCTGTAGATCCCGGTACCAGAGCTTGGAGAAGATCGCTACTTTAAGTCTAACTGTTAAGTTGACTTTTACTCTGTAGATCGCGGTACCAGAGCTTGGAGAAGATCGCTACTTTAAGTCTAATTGTTAAGTTGACTTTTACTCTGTAGATCGCGGTACCAGAGCTTGGAGAAGATCGCTACTTTAAGTCTAATTGTTAAGTTGACTTTTACTCTGTAGATCCCGGTACCAGAGCTTGGAGAAGATCGTTACTTTGAGTACGAGATTAAGAACCATATGGTTGGTTTTCTGAAGTTCCGCATGAGAGCCAAGGTTCGTGATCCTGTCTTAGGTTTGGAAGGTCATGGCGAGGATAAAGCTGCTGACAAAGCCTTGGAGATAGCTATGCAGGACTTGATTAACAATCTCCTCCAATTAATAGTAGACGAGATAGATAAAACAGAGGAAAAATAATGTGTATTATAATGATAAAAACATGGAATAGAATATATTCTTTAAACCGCATGTTCATTTCATACAAAAATAGTTATGTATTCTAAGTTTTAATGAGAAAAATTTGGAACATGAAAGAATGTGTCTCACTCTTTTTTGAATATTTTTTTTCTTTTTCATATCGTTGGATGAGAAAGGCATATTACATAGAAATATATAGATAATAGGGTGATAAAGTGTTATGCTGGAGGAAAATAAAACAAATTTCATATATAGTATTATTTTAAATATTCAATAAGCAAACACTATTGTTTTGTTTTAAGATACCATTAAATTTAAAAGTGATAGAAAAAGATAGATTATTACAACCACAACAGTTCTGCTTTAACAGGAGTTTCTCTACCACATTTACCTATAATCACTGAATTTGGCAGGTAATTGAATGGACCCAGCATAATACAAAGTAAACAATATTCTGCCATTGAAAGTTAGAGAAATTAAAAGCAGAACAAAAAGCTTGGTTAAAAACTCATAATGTTAATAGTCTATCTAACAGTTTCAATCCACTTATAGTTCTATATACATCTGAAATTTAAGGTGTTAAACTATACATTTCTGTGTGTGTACTTCATTGATAAGTGTTTAAACAAAATAAACAGTTTACAGAGCTATTAATTCAAAATATAAAAGAAAAAAATTTTAAAAAATTCTCTGTTATTACAATACGTTACACAGAGGGTAATAATTACATATGGTAACAATTTTGCATATCTTGGCCATCCTAGTGGCCTGTGACAACATAACTTAAAAGAGTTAAGACTCTTTTGTTGCATTGTAGTGATTAAGATTGACCTCTGTGCATTGCAAAAAAGCCCCCAGCAATGGGTTTTTACTGCAGAGCATCAGTCCATAACCAGGACTGCAATGCCTAGGTGTTCATCCTTGTTTTATTACATCATGAACATCCATTTGTACAACAGTAAATATATTCTTCAAATAAGTAAATTCTGGGATATAAGAAATGGCAAGCAAAAAATTGAGCTTGTGAATAATGAAGAAAAGCAAATATTGTAAGCAAACTTTCCACTATAAAGTCCTATGTATAATGAGATTAAAAAAAAAACAGGGTGATATCCCTTCTTACAATGTAAACTTCCAATAATATACAAAGAAATAATTTCTTTTATTCATTTTCATGTTTAAAGGAGTGAAGCTTTCATGAAGTAGAAAAGTAATTATAACTAATTTGAATAAACTTAATTTTTACACTCATTTGAATAAATTTCTGAATTTACTTGGTAGTTATTACAGACTTTATATTAAATATAAATGATATCATCAAGTAAAATACTGAAAAATCTTACTTACAAAGAAATCCGAAGTCACCACAAGCATATCTTTTAGTTTAATTTGTAAGAGTTTTGTGGAAATAAATTGTTACATATGTTGATACAAAATATTTAACAAAGGAAATTACACAAATTTATGGAATTAATTATGAGATACAAAATTATACTTTATAAAATGATGCTGCAGGCAGTTTCACATACTTAAGGTGAATATCAATCACTCTTCTTTTGAGATAACTTAGTGAGGCCAGGAGCAAAGGTACGGCTTGGGTGAGGGAGGTGTCAAACATCTTTTTAACTTCTTACAACCAGGGGGTGACCAGTGCTTTAAGGAATGAAAATCAGTACAGTTACATAAAGAAGCAATTTACATAAAACAAATAATAAGCTTAGGTTTCATGTAAAGTAAGATTCCAAAATGATGTAACTATGTTACACACCACCCCTAAACATCAAGTAATGGACCTCTCTAATAAATAATATCATTAACACGTGTATGCATTTATAGAGTTAAAAAACATATAATTTAAAAACTTCGAGTAAGGTTAGACCACACCAACAGACTCTTTAAACATGTTATAGTATATCTTTAAAATCCAAGTGATGTGTAGTTGATTTCACATGATTAACAAACATATACAGTGGTACATGAAAACCTTTAAAAGCCATGGCCCAGAAATATTTGTCCCTTCCCAGCTCTATTAATGATACATGATTAAAATAACATGCTGAATTATACCACAAATAAATCCCTTTTTATTTCCATGCAATATTTTGGCAGGGAGTAGATGAGAGAGAGTATAGTGGGCTTCTAGTTGTTGACTTGTACAGGATTTTAAGAATTACTATTTCCATATCTTGTTCAAAGGTGGGCATTTCACTAGTTTTAACCGGGTATCACATGAGCTTCTGGGTCCCAAAAATGTTTGATGTATATAAGTGGTCTTTCCATGCTTTAGGCTAAGGTTGGGTCAGGCAAGCCCCTTGGAAGGCTGCCCCAGCTACGTGTACACCACTGAAGGTATTATCATCAGAGAAATACAAAATTCAGGTAATTGGCTCCTGTAAGTACTTTAAAAGATAACTGCAACTTTGTTCCCGATGAAAAGGAGACCACTCTCTGACAACTATTGAGTTTCTACCTTAACGTAAAACATCAACCAAGATACAAGATATTAATAACACGGAATACTGATACATGAAAACTTGTATCTTGTAATTGTTTTGATTGTCTAAGTTCTTATATCTGAAAATATGTTAATGAGCTGACAACATAAATATTACATACCATAACTGCTTTATCACACCAGTTTAACTGTGGCTTTCCTGGTGTTAAATTGTTCTTGTGTTCCTTAACTATTTCTAAAATGGCAGATTTGGCTTTCTGATATTCCTTAGACTTTGGGCTATAAACAGAAACATAATTGAATTAGAAGCTGGATCATTTAAAATACATTAAACAAACATCACTAAACAAGAATATCAGCGAAAAAAATTTATCTTTAAATTTTTTCTTTGAAAAAGCAAAAAAAAGTTTAGAATAAGAAACTCCAAGAACATGTGCTCATACATAAGCCTATCTTTAAGGTTGAAAAGTTGAATTAAATGGAATTAAATTAAGCACTTAACTCTACATAAATAAGCAGCAAATTTATCAAATGATTGTTAACTGGATCTACTCCATTTTGTTTTTTTCTGCAACATTATGTGATATAGTGTTAACATATTTTCTCATAGTCCACGATTGGCTCCTCCACCAATCAGAATCTTCCACCTAAGATGGAAGCCTATCCACATCAGGAGGTTGTAAATCATTCACTGCCATGAAGAAAGCCAAGGGGAGCATTGCAGACATGGAAAATGAAGTTTCCTCTCAAATATATTTCTAGCTAAAAAGACAAGAAGGAATTAGGTAACTGAGGAAAAGAAGCAGTTAAATTGTGCCACACTGACATCTCACAGAAACATGGCCATAAAATATAAGCCTAACATAAACATCGAGATCAACAAGTAAAGAATCTTACTAATGGAGCCTGATGTGCCTATCAGTATGAAAAGTGATTTGTCATAAGTTCTTATCAATCCTCACTCTTTTATGTTCTCTCACTGTGAAAGACAATTCATATTTTTTCAGCTATTACATTTTATCACTTTTTGGTGGGAAAAGTAATCATGGAAAGCCCTGCCCAAGTAAAACATTCTGTTGAATGCACAAGAAGGAAAACTGAGAAAATACCTTATTACTCTCCTAAGCTACCCCAAGTCTTAGCCAAAAAGGAAAATCTTGTGAAAGACTGTAAGTTAACACACACATGCAAAACAAGAGTCATAGTAAGTATCAAATGCATACAAATCTGAACAACAACATCCATGAGCCAGAAGCAACATGGATATATTCAAAGAAACAAAAGGCTGAAATGGAGGCAGAGTTAGATTCTAAAAAAAAACAAAACAAAGATGTTCCAGTTCTGAACAAAATTGAAAGATTAAGGAAGTGAAGAAATAAAATAATAATCAGAAGAAATGGTTTGCAAACTGATGTATGGATGAAGGTGTGAAAGAAACACCAATGGCAGAAAATTTTTCTTCCACATTCATCATTACATTCAAAAGTATCAAACGTAAATAGAGACTAAAGCAGGGAAGCTTGTGAATTAACCATGTGGCAAGTGAATCAAGTAATTAATGACCCAATCAACAGATGACTCAACGAAAGATCTAAATATGAAGAAATCACTTTGTGGAAAGTTCCTGCAGAATGTAAGACAATCAATCATCAAGATCGAACTGGTGTATTTAAGTGCTTTACACTCACAAAAAAAAAACCTATCATTCTATAGGTATTTAATGAACTTGTAGCATTTTGGCACAATTTAATTCTTCGTATTGTTAGCCAACACTGGGCAGCTTGTACATAATTGAATAAATAGAGTTGTTTAAACATTTATTTAACAACAAGTAAAAGCTTGGAATGGTCTATTCTTTCATTGGGGTGTAATCATGGACACAACCACCAATGAAATATCAGACCAAACCAAGCCTTTATAGTAGGGAGGTATGGAAAATATTGGTGGTTGTGTCCAGGGTCACTGATGAGGAGTGGAATTCTCTGAAACTAGTCTGGCTCACAGACACACCCTCCCAATGAAAGAATTGACCATTCCAAGCTTTTACTTGTTGTTAAACAAATGTTTAAACAACTCTATTTATTCAATCATCAAGATGTTTCATGAGCTCATGAATTCAACATTCCTAAAAGGCAAATAAAAAAATAAAAGCTGTCAATGAAATGTCAATGACCAAAAGCAAATACTAGCAGAGTTGGAACCTCCCTGTGACATATTTAGACAACAATGGTGGAATTGTAAGAATAAACCAAAACCACCTGACTATGAATAAGTCTTGGAAATGAAAACATAATCTCTGCATAACACAAAAGGCTGAAAATAAACTCAGTCCCTGAACAAACTGCAGGCAGTGTGAAAACAAATGTAAATAGATGAGCCCTACAGAGCAAAAACAAAAGTGGCATGAAAATATACATCCATCTCTACAGAATTCAACACAGCAGGAGAGTGAAATACCACTGCATCTGAAATATATCTGAATCCAACAAAGCTATTTTCTAAATGATATAGAACCTAATAAGTACATAGAGAATGAGAAACTAGGAAAGATGCAACAAATTTACTCTAAATAAGGAAGAAATAATATTTCCAAGGTAGGAAGAAAATATCAAGGTGGAAATGAAATGTTTAAAATTTAATTAACAACTCCACTTGATGCATGAGTGAGAGTCAGATGAGTTAAGTGTAATGAGATATCTCCTGACTTGGCAAAGTCCAGCCAGTCAACCACATAGAAGTGAAAACCTGTAAGATGGTTGAAGACAAACAGTATAAAAAAAAAATCACCCTGGTGGTCAGATACTGAAAACTGCTCTTTTTTTTCCCTACAGGGAAAGACTTAATCAAAATGCATTTTCTTACTGAAGGCATGGTCAATTTTTTTTTTCAGAGAAAGTAGTTTGAAATGACAAAATACATCCTCTCCATTTACAAGATTTTGATAAGTGGATTATGGCAAATGTTATTTGACTCAATATTGCCTAAACGTGAACTTTATCTAGCCAAATGGAAAGACGCATTTCAAAATTTCTGTGGAAGGTGTGTGTGCATAACAGTGAACTTGTAGTTTTATCCAAGATTTAAATAACATTATTTTTTATTTGATTTTTATTTTAACTCAAAGGAAGGAAGGAGCAGTTGCACTAGACTCATTATTACAGCAATTATATTATGAGTCACTTGACTCGCTATTCACCAAGATGACAAATGTATGTTTTGTATGTAGTATTTGTTTTTTTAAGTTTATATTGTGAAAGTTCAGTAAAATGAGGAAACTAAGTATTTTGGATAATATTTAATACAATGTTACATAAATATGCATGCAATGATTATTAGCATCAAAGTAGTTATATATTTCTTTGTTTGTCTTTGGGCAAAGCCACATTGGATTATCTGCTATGTCCACCATATGGAATCAAACCACAAATTCCAGTGTTATAAGTCTGTAAACTTATCACTGTCCCACCAGGGATGTAGTTATATAATGAAATTAAAATATTCTCAACTTACCCAATCTGAGTTTAGCATGTCTTAAAACTCTCATATACAATTTTCATGCTTTCTGCCATAAGTGAACAACTCATGCCATTTTTGTCACATGTATCTGGTTCACTAATCTAATACGAATCAAGGAATCCAATAATTGTATTTCAAGTTCATGACAAGATCTTTCACAGTAATCTTAGATTAAAAGGAAGCTGATGGAACATATCAAATTTCTGTACACACAAGGTAAATACAGATTTAGGATAGGGGTGGTTTTTGCAAAGTGGTTGATAAAGTCATATTTTCCTGTCAGATCCTGAGCTACTCATACAATACTATTCATGTTTACCTCTTGTGCAGCATAGCTAAAGTTCTTAAAGGCAGAAATAAAGTGTGTAAATGAGTCTACTAATGAAACAGGGCAGATTGGAAAGAATGTAGGATAGAACACAACCCATCCTTAAAAGAATCTTTAACACCAAAACATCTGGAGAAAAAGGAAAACAAACAAAAGAAGGTTTAGGTTCCCTATCAAGAATAAAAAAGCAAGTTTGTTAAAGAACAAATCACTTTGAACAGGAACAATAATTCTGCAAAAAAAAGAAGCACACAGTTCCAAAACAGAACCACATAAAAAGAGAAAAGAAAAGCTATGCACAAAATCTTCTTGATAAGAAGAAGCTAAATGCAATTCCTCACAGAAATCCCCATAATATTTTTGGAATGGGGACAATGACAAATAAAAAGCAACTATGGGCTGGAGGAATGATCATCAAAGATAAGAGTGCCCCCTAAAGTTAACTTATGTTAATAGAGATCCTACTTCACACGTAGATAAAGGAGATATTTCTTATTAGTACTAGAAAGTTTGTTAAATGATGCCACACAGTAGTACATTAAGAAATGTGGGAAAACCTCACTTGACAATCATTTGATGGATTAGCTACATATCTATTTAGAGGGATAAAAATGTATTTGAATACTTACCCTTGAATAACATTATATCTCATATAATAAAATTAGAATGTATCATTTAACCACAGTATATTTTTGTAAACAGCTACTTGTAACATTTTACATTACGTAAAATACCCTTACAGATGATACATGATAGCAAAAGTACATGTCAGGAAGGTGTGAAGTGAAGTTATGAGAGGTGCTATTGCATCCACCTCCAATCAACAAAGACCTAATATGTACATAACATGAGAACTTAAGGACTGATACCACCAAATTTCTTTTAAATAACCTTACTTCAATGTATACTTTTCTCCAGGATCTCTCCCAAGATGAAATATTTTTGGTTGTGTAGTGTAATTCATCTGCTGATGACTGGTGATTCCTTCAACTTTCTCACCAGGACAAAAATCAATACCCTGTTATAAATTAATAAATCAGGACTGAACAAGGAAGTCCTACCCTTAAAAAACATATTCAGGTTTGTTGAATTCAATATGTTATTAACTCTTTAAAAAAACTCTTAAAATTTTAAAAGTTAATAGTTACAAAATAAATATGATATCCTGTTAGAGGTAGAAAAATTAGTAAATAAGACATCATAAAACAGTCAAACATGTATACCCAAAAAGTTATTGCTAAGCTAACAAATCAGTTTACATGTATTTTTTGTGTAACTATATGCCGGATCCATTCACAATAATAAGAATATAATTACTTTAACTTATTACAATATAGTCAAGGGTAATACTCCACTTGAATAACCTTAAGATTCAAAGTACAGCTTGAAGATGCTTTTCATCAATCATTTAGTTTATCATCTCAACAAAAAACAAATTATTCATTTATGGAGAGTCAACAAGTTATTGATAAAACATCATGAAGTTAAAAACTTGTTAAAAACCAATGGAGACATTACAGCAGTAAGTCACGACCTGTGAAAATTTAAAAGTTCAGTGGTTAACATTCTTGTTAATAGTTAACAAATCAGTGGTGTCACTACGAGAGAAAGACAATGGCTTTTGAGCAGTGAGCAAATAACTGAAAACAGTACAAAATGAATCAATGCTCACATTTCAATTTGTGGCAAATGATTGGGATAACAATCATTACTTTTTTTCTGTATTAATATTTCAATGGAAGAAATAATAAAAAAATCAATGATTTATAATGACAAATGAAGTTTAGCATCACAGAAAGTCATTACAGTTAACAACCCAACTTCAGCATCACAAAACAAAATATGATGCTTTCCAAATAGCATTGTTAAACAATGAATGATGCTTCCTGAACAGCTAACAAATCAACTTCATTGCTACATGGCTATCATCATATTTTTAACAGTTACTAAATCAACTTCAGTACTACATAAAAAAAGGTGATACCTCCTTAGATGTTAGCAAATCAACTTCAGCACTACATGACAAAAGGTAATACTTTTCTTAACAGTTAATAACACTACAGCAACCTCATGTAATATTAAATTTATACAATAAGTTACAACTCTCATTAAAAACAGATTTTATTATTAATTGTCATACTGAAATCATATGTAATAAATAGTTCTATTTGATAGGATCATATACTGGTGATAGTAAAAATAAACCCAAGATCAACTTTCTTCTTCTACACACAAAATGAAAACAAATTTTAAAATTCTACAATTAATAAAGTGTTTTCAGAAAACTTTTTGTCACTGAAAAGTTGGTCATCTTAATCTTATTTTTTAATATTTTACTCCATGTGTTGTCACATATGTAAGAAAAAGTTTTTTAAATAAGAATGAAAGGATAATAATAAAGAAAATCTGTGAGGATGAAGAGTAAGACAAAGTCTCTGTTGTATTTAAATAATTTAAATATAAATTATTTATATCATAAGAAATTCTTTTTGCAAGAATAATACAAAAACTATTTGCTGTGTCTCAACAATATTCTGTTTAACTTTTTCTTGAGCCAAATGATAATCAAATGCAGATAAGAACAATTTCCTGTTGTATCTCAAGGATAAAATTATATTAACTATTTTTAGAAAATTTATAGTCAAGGTAAATAGTATGAAAAACAGACACCTATGTTTTAAAAAATATTATTCTAAACTAATTCTAAAATAAATGTTTCAAGAGAAAATTATCTGAAAATTTCTTACGAGTATAATTCTCTTTCTTTGAGGGAGAGTACAAAGAACAATTGTCTACTTTAATGTCAAGAAAATAATTTAAGCTGTTGTGTTTAAAGAATTAACTTATTTGCATTAAAAATTATTATGAATAAACTGCACAGAAAACGCTATCTGTTGTATTTAAATGATATAGTTCTTTACTATTTCTAAAATATGAAATTTATTAAGGAAGATTCATCATAAATATAATCACTGATATATCTCAAATTATAATTCCAACATGTAAGAAATCATCTATAAAGAACATTGGGTAAAAAATAATTGTTTAAACCTTAGGAATGTAATTCTTACCTGTTTTGTAAATTAGGAAGTTAAAAGTTATAATCTTCCTATACTGAAAATGTATTTCCGATAGGTACTTACCTCCTCTCACAAAATTAGCTATTCTCGTTCCGTGCTGCTCTCTATGTGCAAACATTTTCTTTATGCATGCCACAAGCCTTCTGCCCCCCTCTTATATTCCAACATGTCTCTCATGTAAATCATGATGTGTCATCGCTTACCCAGTAGTTGCATGATATGCTCATGGGTTGCATGTGACTCCCTCTACCAAACCTTCACTTTGAAGTTTGGCAGAAGGTGTTTGCACCAGAGAAGTAGGGAGGAAGGGTGAGAGAAGGTAAGTACCTATCAGAAATACATTTTCAGTAAAGGAAAATTATAACTTCCTATATAGTACTTACCTCCTCTCACAAGATTAAAAGAGTAGTTAGAATCCCACATTGAGAAGGAAGAAGGACCAGTGTGAGGGAATGAAAGAAGTACCCTCAAAAGCATCTGAGGGATACCCCTGACAATGAGAGAGATAGATCCAAAGATCAGGAAAGGGGAACTCTACCACTTGAGCCAGATATACTCTTCACCCATGTATGGAATGTCTAATACATAAGGTTGGAAATTGAGAGGTGTAGAGTGGTTAGAGCACGGCGGACAGTACTCGGTAAGTCAACTACATCCAAAACCTCCTCATGGGGTACCAATATCCATGCGAGGGTAGGATGAGGATCATACTGTCTTCAACACAAATCCAAGAATAATGGAATATGACCCATACTGATTTCTGGGTATGGCATGAGGATCATCGCTGATCTATCAATCTGGGAATCAATATCTGGTATCGAAAGGATGTCAATCGCATGGAATCATCTCATGTGAGGACTTATGGTGATTGGTTCACTCTAATCCAAAACCTCTTAGCGGGGTACTGAAATCCATACAAGGGTAGGATGAGATCTACCAATTGAATGGGTGAACTGCAATTTCGATGGCTCAACTTCAGTGTTTATGTAACTGGTATCAGAAGGCCATGTCAACCAGCAAGGTGATGGCTCAACTCCTCTGGAGGCCATATCTTATCTACACCAGCAGAATACCACTGTCCTACTCTCGACTGAATGGTTCTAGCCCTTTCTTTGTGGAACTTATTGAAGAGGGTGCCTCCATGGTCAACCACCCCAGTGGCTTGGAACTGGAAAGTGGTAAGGACTTCCATACTACACTTGAAGAAAGGAAGGTGACAATGCAGTGGAGAGTTTGTAGGCATGACATCACCAGAGACAGCGCAATGGGTGACCACAAAACCTTATTCCGGATCTGGTCTAGGGTAAAGATGGGATATAGAAGGAAGAGAAATAGGTAGAGTGATAAAGGGTACATGAAACAACAATGGCATACAAATCTGACCTTTGACATCCACAGGCTCAGAGAAGGAGGAAATATGTTTTAAGTGACAGATGAAACAAGGAAAATGAGGAAAGTGGTTCAAATGGAGGTAATGTAAGGGCATGGAGAACCACATTAATGTCCCAATCCGAAAAGGCTGGAAGGTTGATGTATCCAGAAGGAATACATGAGTATGGTAAGAATAGGGGAAAAAAAAACTTTATGGTATCAGGAAAAAATGGAAGGAATGGGATAGGGCTGCCTGATATCCAGAAAGCGAGGAGATAAAAAGGCCCATGATGAAAGAACCAAGTGAGAAATTCTGCCACATGAGCCACAGAAGGCTTTTCAGCAGGAAACTCCCTATTAGCAGACCAACAGAGGAAGAATTTCCACTTGCATTGATTCACTTTTATAGAAGATGGTCGTACGGAAGAGTTAATAATAAGAAGGCAACTCAATGTGTGAAACTGGATCGTTTTGCCAAGGGCTGAACAAAAGCTAGGCATGAAGATGCAGGACATGGAGATTGGGATGTAGATTGTGGGATCTATTGAGCTGGCCAATAGGAAGCAATCAGGAGGACAAGAGAAATCACCCGATGAAGCAATCGGATGGTAGGGTACATATAAAGATATTTGTGTGATCAATCCTGGCTGAAGGCATCGACCACTAAAGTCTGTGGATATGGTACAGGTGACCTAAAGAGGGGCAGCTTGGTATTGAGGCCCATGGCAAAGGCATCCAATTAGGGAAAACCCCACTGATGGCAAATATCCCTAAAAAAAGGTGGATATAATGCTGACTCTGCTGGATATATTTGATTGGGGTGCAACAGACAATCAGAGATTGAAAGCACCTGGCACTTGACATGCGATAAGGCAAATGTGATGTGCATGGGCCCAGTATAATAGATCCAACATCTGAAAACATATATCTCTGGACCAGGTGCCCCCTTGGTGTTTGATATGTGCCACCACTGTAGAATTGTCCAAATTAACCATCACCAGACAATGATGGGTGAGAAGAAAGAAGTGATACAATGCCAGATATACTGCTAGAAGTTCGAGAAATTTATATACAAGATGGTTTCGTCTGCAGACCAACAGCCTGAAGCTTCCTGGTTATTGACCCATGACCTCCATTCCTGAAGGGATGCATCCATGAAAGGATATAATCCGAAAGCTGGGGAGGAAGTGGCATGCCCATCAATGTATGGGCTTTGTCCAGTCTCTAATGCAGATCATTTCACAGGGATCTTGAGTAAGGTTCGATCATTCATGAAACTCCCATTCTAGGGATCTAATATGAGCATGACCTGGAGGGACCAGTGCAGTCATAGAGGATCACATCCTCAAAAGTGATAGAACCTCGCGAGCAGTAAGTGCCTGAGTCAAGAGGGCATGGTGAACTAAAAGTTTCATCCAAAGAAGATGTAAAGGAGAAGACAGAGTGCAACTGATATTCGTGTTGAAAAAGACCTCCAAATGGACTAGATATTGAGGGGGTCAAAGGACTGACTTGTCCAGTTTGATCAACCAACCCACCAGAGCCGTCACAGAAAGTAGTTGGTGAGTATGAGTGGCTGATTCCAGCTCAGAATGAGCTAGAAGGAGCCAGTTGTCCATGTAATAATGAAATTGCATCCCCAGAGTTTGGAGATGATGTGCAAAAGCTCAGACTATGCGATAAAACATTGGGAGCCAAGGCAAGTCCAAATGGGAGTGCCTTAAATTGGTAAACCACCCCGAGATAGACAAACCAAAATAAGGTTGAAACCAATGTGCTATAGGGATGTGAAGGTAAGTGTTGGAGATATCCATCTTTGTCATCCACAACCCTGGGGAAAATGCCCATCTCAGGTTGAGAAAAGACTCCATGGTAAACTTGAGGAGTATGATGAGGGATGGAGGCAATATAAATTGATGACCAGCCACCAATCCTGAAAAAAAAATGACAGGAATAAAAAACCCTGAAGGATGGTGAACAAGTTTGATTGCCTGCTGCAAAAGCAATTCTTGAACTGCTTCTGACAAATGCTGGTAGGTCATGGGATCTCAAGGAGGAGGAGGAGGGAAGAAAATGGGGCAAGGATAAATGGGAGGTGGGGAAAGAAACTGGATATTGAATCCTTCTGAAAGAACCCATATTACCCATTGATCATCTACAAAAGTATGCCAGTGAGGAATAAACTTTAATAGCCTTGCTCCCACAGGATAGTCACAGGTTCTGTTGGCAATAAGGGTTGTGTTGTCGAAGAAATCAACGAGAAGAAGTACCCCGATTAGAAGGAACTGACAAGGGTTGGGAGGATGAAGAATGGGAAATGGGAATAGGCAGTATATGAGGCTCTGACTGAGACAAAAGGGCTACAAAAGTCATAAGGGTTGATTGCTGGCAGACCGATGTCACCCGAGGCTCGATAGTTTCTGGGACTGTACCAAAGACATAACATCTCAGAAAAGGTGCAAGACATAAATCCCCGAGATAGGTTGAAAGTAAATTGACCCAAGCCAAAACTGCATCCCGACCTATAAGGTCCCAACAACAAAGAAACCATGTATATAACGACAGAGCCAAAGAAGAAATGTGGGATAAAGTGGATGAGAGAAGTATAAGGGTATCTGCAGAAAACCCCTCAGTATCTCAGTGGAGAGCCTCTGAGAGGAGATATATGGAAGAAAGGCAGCACTGAACGAGAATAGCTAATCTTGTGAGAGAGAGGTAAGTACAGTATCGGAATAGGAAGAAAAAGCAGAAGCTCATCTAAAACTGTAAATCATATAGTTTTTATATTAATTTGATGAAACATAATATATCAAACCAGAAATGTAGCTGTTTGGTTTTAAAATCAAGTGGTTTTTCAAAAACATATTGAGTGACATTCTGTATAATTTCATAAGTGATATAATAAATAAAAAGTGATAATAAAAATTTTATTCAAAATAATAATACTTTCACGAAAAAAAATATAATATCAAAATTACAAAACAGATCATCTTAGAAAATACTAATGGAGAGATGAATTTAAAACCACATTCTATTCTGCACTCATTCAATACTTTATCAAAACATAATAATGAATTATTTAATCATAAAATGTTCAAATGTCAGACATTATGAGTCTTTCAGGATTAGTTTATGTTTTACTTTGGGTATACAAGACGTCGTGCTACAATATAAACCAACAGAATCAAATTGGTCTTAAGTTATACATTCAAACAACACCATTTTTATTTACTTGCAACAAATTATTTTGAAACTTATTTTTATAGCCTTTCCAGTATGGCTTTTGTATTCTTAAAATAGAAATGATATAAATATGTATAAATGACCTAAGATATGAAAGAAATGCCTTATGCATTTTTGGGTATTGTTCTTCACACAGTTTCTAAAGCTTGCATATGGGACGTATGCATCCCAGCAGCTATTTATGGATACAGGATACACACTAACACACATTCCGAGGTGAAAGTAGTGCAAGAACATCTAATAATCAAAGTTTTATTTGTCTGCCAAACCTGCATTAATGTGTACTGGTACATATAAAATCCAACAATACTCTACCATACCTCTTGAAACAAAGATGACTTACAAGTTCAATCTCTAAAATTTGGCAGTGGACTTGCAAACCCACGTGTTTAAGTAAAACAACAATAAACTATCCAAGAAGTACATTCCCACTGTCTTTACAACCTTTTCTGTTTTTCTTGACTACATTGGGACCATTTATTGTGTCTTAAGAAGTGATTAAAAAGATTGGATATATGAACAAAGAAATCTGTTTACTACTGAACATGAAAACTGGATAAAAGAAATTTAAGAAGCCATACTTTTACAGCTAAGAAGGACCAATGAATAGATGAAAACAAGTCTAAATAAAGCTTCAAAAAGTATATAGTAGGGTAGGAGAAGCAGTCAGATCTATCGAGAATCCCCAAAAAGCAACAGAAACAGCTCAAGTTTCTAACCAACCCTATTACATAAAAGTAACTTGCAAGTCTAGAATGAGATGATAAGCTTTAAAGCACATGAGTATTTCCAACTGGATTTAAGGATAATGGTCGGTATAAATGAACACTAAAAGTTAAGACAAGAAGTGTTATGAGGAAATAACCAACTACCAAGACTGTATTCTGCACTATATAATCTGATCTGTCTATTTTGACAGGTTGTACGTTGTCACTAGATCAAAGTAGACAGAGGAGTAGGATTGTAGAAGAACATGGAATATCTGATACTATAGGAGATCCACCAGAAAGAATATGGAGTGGGGAACAAGACTACATCACACTTAGTAAACCTTGTTAATAGTGCTGTAAGTTTATAGCCCACATTATATCTAATGATGATGGTACATATATTTAACCCATATCATATTTAGAAAGTGAAATCACAAATACAAATAACATGTAACAAAACAGTAACCACTCTGACCTGTTTCAACTCCTCCCATGAATTGCTCCAGCACCAAAAATGAGCCTTGTAAAACCCTAATCTAACTGCCATTAACTCATTACCTCTGTAGTAGAAGACAGGCCTGTGAATAAACAGGATTTGAAGTTAATTTATCAAATAAAAGACACAACTGTGAACAGTGGGTGGTTATGTACCTTTCAGTAAAAAACAGATGTGAAAATTGAAACTGTTAAATGAATGTTACATGTTTTGAGTACGAAACAAAAACCCTTAAATATTCAGGATGTTAGCTGGGAACAATAGGAACAATAATTCTTACTTTTACTGGTACAAAATTTAGCCAATGGAAAACAAAATGTGATGTTACACTATTAAAGATAGGGTACTTATGTAAAAAGATTAATTGAAGTTAATTTGGCATTAGAAAAAAAATTGCTTCCATGTCAATAAGAAATGTGATTGTAAATAGATTTTTACTAAGCTTTCAGAAGAGAAACTTGTGAAAAACGTTTGTCAACTTTTGTTTAGATTAAGTTTATATTTAAAAAACATGCATATCTTGTAGTGTTAGATATGTATTGCGAAACTCCCGCCTATTCTCCAAAGATGTGGAAGATTCTCGAGAGTAGGAATCAACAATATATCTATATACATAAATGTTTAAATATAGCTCAGTATTGTTATGTAATCTGAATTTTCTAGAAAATCTTCCCATGCCAAAGGGAGTGTCTATTAGTAGTTCATATAATCAGTGAGTTATAAACTTTGAAAGCTATTACTGTGATTTTTTATAACGCTTATCAATCAGAAAACTTAAGATAGTTGACCAGGAATATTTATAAATTTTGAACGTTACAAATAATTTAACTTCAGTGGATTCTCATCAGACATTAGCATTTTTATGAAAACATATAAATTCATCATGGAGAGCTCAGCGTTTGTGGCCAAGGACAAAGCTAGCTAGTTTCCAGAGAATCGTACTTACATCAACTTGTAATTAACTTGCTCATGGCAAACCCTCAATAAGATATCAAGGGAGTTTTGTTTATAAATCTTTGTTTGCAGTAACTATTGGTAATAATTGTTATTGTAAATTGTACTGTTGTGTGTGTATTAAAACGTATTTGTGTTAAAAAAGAAAAATGTGTATCAATCTTGTTGGCAAATATCGTTAATTGACTAATATATCAGCATATATTTAAATACTAAATCAAAGTACGATTTAACTACTAAATTTAAATTATTAGTTAACTCGGCTTCGGACTATTTGAAATTCTAATACATAACAATCATAACTAGAAGAGATAATTGTTTGCTTTACTTCTTTAGTTACTGTTCTATGTTTTAAGAAAAATAAGTTTAATATCAATAATCTATATACATGTGACAGTATTTTACAAAATACTAGCCTGCTAAAACACAGCCATAACAAGTTACTTTGCATAAACCAAAGGTCAGTTTTATGTTATTTGATACAGTAACATGAGTGCACATGAATCGCATCATTGTAACTTCTGTACTGTTAGCCAGGCATGGCTGAAAGGTCAATATAATAAAAAATAATAAATATATATAAATGTACAATGCTATGAGATTTAAGCTATTTTGTCTAAAAATTTATATTTTCATGTTATAATTTGTGTTCATTCTAGAATGAAGGAGGCATAATTTATGTTTATTTCCTAATTTTTTATGGTGGTTGCGAGACCAGTCAAATCTACCAAACCCGTACAGAGTAGTGATCTTCTCCAAGCTCTGGTACCGGGATCTACAGAGTAAAAGTCAACTTAACAATTAGACTTAAAGTAGCGATCTTCTCCAAGCTCTGGTACCGGGATCTACAGAGTAAAAGTCAACTTAACAATTAGACTTAAAGTACGATCTTCTCCAAGCTCTGGTACCGGGACGTTTTCTCTCCTCAAGGAACTTCCTGGGAAAATTCTACAATTATGACTGACTATACTTTTATAGGACTTAAAGTGGTGTAGCACTTTCTGATTGGTTGGGTGACACCAATCACAGTGTAAACTATGAACATGTCACTGTATTCTGGTGCATTCATTTTCACATAAGAAAGAGGTGAAACTTCCATACTATTTGCCTTTTATATTTTTTTTCCTCATCGTTTCCATAATTATTTATTTCCAGTATTGTATATATTTCTTGGGGTTACTTGAAAAACAAACATTAAAATCAAGTGTTTGCTTTATTTAAGTGTGATCTCTTGCACTGATCCACACCGTACATATTTTTTCTCCTAATTACATATACAACCTACCAAATAAACGGAATCATTCCTTCTGCTATTGTAGGGTTATCTTACCTGTAAAACATTTCAGCTGAGAATAACTCAAACTTATGCCAGCTTATGTCACTTTATATTTTATGTTAGTAAACTATACGTAGGTATAATGTTTATTTCTAATGAACATTTATTTGCTGTTTAAGTTTAATTAAATATAAAAAAGCAACAACAACGTATAAGTTAAGAAAGTAACCGAGTGCTTGGACATGTAGGTTTTATTTCAGAGGTGCCACACTAAGTGCAAAAAAGAACGAAACATTCAACTAAACTGTTTATAACTTTATGAGTTAAACATGGTGACATATTTTAAGGGTCTGATTTATTCCTTTAAACATAAGCATCCCAAATAATCTACAAAAAATTACCAGGATGACATAGTTTATTAAAGGATTGGTCAGAAACGCTCTGATATTGGCACCTTTCTTCAGCAAATAAACCCGTATCTTAAGTGTTACTTGTTCACGATTTTGGCTGTTCAACAAGATGTTAAAGACAGAGTCTTAAACATAATTGTGTTTGTATGATTAGTAAATTTGTTCAACGAATTATTCTTATACCTACACAATTTTCTCTGATGAAATATATTTCTTAATGTGGACTTATTAGAGTAAATAAATATTTTAAAAAACTAATATACACTGTGATGTACACATAAACGAGAAAAAATAATGACACAGAGTTTCAAGGTTAGATGTACAAGTTAGCTGAAAATATGTTTTATATTCCTTTTCATTGTTCATACCAGAGCCTGCACGGGAATGATAACGCTGATAAATCCCTTTAAAAAATCATAAGCTTATGAGAAAATAACACCTTGCACAGAACCTATCAATGGGATACATTCATATCCATATGGTATTTGCACGACAAACCGGATGTTATCACAGATATATATTTCATTGGGTAATAATTTCCCCATTTTGTGTTGTTAGTCAGATCTCCAAAGTCATTGATCCACAATGAAGACTGGAGTAAAAGGTAAGAACTTACGTATTTATCATTTGGTAATTTTTAAGATATCACTTATAAATAAATTCATTAGAATCACGTTCTCTACTACATAGTTTACTTCAGTACGAAAAATAAAGTTAAACAGAAATTTAAACTACTTAATCTTTCTCATACTTAAACTTAATGTTAGGTTTGCTTGTTGTTAAACCCAATACTATAGAATGGGTTATCTGTACTCTACCCACCTATCGAAACCTGATTTTCATAATGTTAAGATTATGAAATGCTTTCTAACCTAATACATCTAATTTATTTTTTTATTTTCTAAATTTCAAAATGCTTTGTTTATACTTGTAGGAATTCTTATCGTCGCCATCGTCATAAGTAGTTGTGTTCTAGACACAGCAGCATATGTCCATCATTTAAATCCTAGTGATCACCAGAGGGTACTATTAAAGTCAGCTTCCAAATATGCTCAGAATAATGAAAATATTGCCAATGGAATCATCACTGGGGGACTCACTATTGCTGGATTATACGCTTTGTTGAAGAGAATACCTGGTGTTGGGGAATTTCTATTGAAAATTGGATTGTTATTTAAAGCAAGCACAGGACAGGTAGGACAATTATATCATATAATAAGCTGCAGTGAATTTAATTTTCAGTGTATTGAGATACATGACAGTTGTTCTCATCTTTATAGTTACACATGTAGTTGTGACACATTATATTATTTCAACAACGTATTGATTGTAAATCACTGTAAGATAAAGTATATGATGTAATTATCACACACTGAAGGAAGCATCGTTGTTTAAAACGTTTAAAATTAAACTAATTGGTACATAAATATATTTGTATAAGAAATCAGAATACGTTAATACCATTATTGTATACACGTATATGTTATATATGGTTTTGTGACGATGAATTGTCATACCAATGAATGAAAGGGGTGATGGCGAGTAATTTCGTTACACATAGTACTCTAAGTTTCAAATAAATAATGTATTAATAATTGCCATCGTGCTAACTTTGGATATTAAAAGCATTTAGAAAATGTGATGCATATTATTCACGAACGGAAAACTTTAATGGCTACTTTCAAAAGGAGAGTTTCCTCTACCACTTAAAGTTTCGTAGAACGCGTGTTAGAGTGAAGTGTAAAAAAAAAAGATAAATAAGGGTAAATATGTTAGCAAACTGTTATACAAAAGTCTTTGCTGATCTAGGAAAATGTATTTTTGTTTGTTTATGAAAAGTTAGTGAAGTTTATAAACCTAAAACTACAGCAGGAAACCCATTATAACACTCCATGCCATTGCAACTTCGCATAGAGTGAAGAAAACAAGCCAAACCTTCATCGAATATTATAATATGTACATTTGGTGTTAAGAAACAGTGTTGATAGCCAATGAGGTAAATGGATTTTGATTATATTTACTAACCTTATGTGAATAATTAGGCGTTGGAGTCTCCTGGTAAATTCGGGGTTTGGCCCAACACGCGAGTCCACGTGAGAGGGTTGCTAAGCGATTTTAGTGTCATGTGAATAGTTTTATCATGCTTGTTCTATCTGCATATCTGTCCTATATCGAGATGTATCAAAGCGAGTTAGTATCTGAATAATCACAGACGTTCCCATGCCCAACAAATGTTACACCGTGCAAAAGGAGTTTGTTGAATGTTAGAGACAGAATTTTATTGACTCCATTTCATGATAGAAAATCAAATCTGTATTTTCTTTAAATATAACACAGTATCTACTGTGTGCGTGTACTGACTTTGATCTTGGGCAATTTCGAGTGATGGCTTTGTTAGCCCATATTAAAGAAAGGAAGTGGTTCGTATTTCCCGATTCTAACTGCTTTCTTTTAAATCAGATTCCGGCTTCATCCATATAACACATATTTCGACAAAATGCAATGTCCTGCGACTCCCTTACTGCCAATTTATATAGGTTACTTCTCACGTCAAAATACATACACAACTACAGAAGTTCATAAAAGATAAGACATATGGGGGCTTTAACAGTGCACACAAAAACAACGTGAAAACCCCAGACATTCTATATGTACTGGACACAGAATATAATATTGTTTTTGTGTACCATCCAATTGTAGCATACCGATATAAAAAGTCAGTATTATACTGTACTAGCAGATATTGTTGAAGTAATTCAACGGCAATTTTCCGAAACATAGTGATGAATAAATATAAAATGTGCTGTCAACCCAATCCCTTTGATCATAACGTATATGCAGTATTATTTTCTAGTGAACCATTTACAATCGTCTTTTGTCGTTCCATGTGTTTCAATAAGGAAAATAGCATTTCATTTGTTTTGAAGTAAAGGAGACTGAATACAATGCATTGTTGTTAAAAATGTTTGTTTTTCGATGCAATGGGTGCATCCAGAACAACAGGTTCGCTAAGTTGCCACGGGATTTTTTAAAAGCTGGATGTCATCGTTCCGTGTGATTTAATGAGAGTAAGAAAAGTCCGCTGCCGAAGTGATCGCTTTTTCACAGTTGTCATTTCTATAGATTTGAAAGCGGAAATAATTCAAATTAATTTATTCGACATGATAAAACCAAATCATGCATGCATAAAATTCTGACTTGAAAAATATATAAACTGAACAACAACAAATGTGTACACAAACACGTTTATCTCTATACGTTTTTCTGTTCACACTTCTATCTTCAAAATATTTCTCTCAGTCACTCGACGGAAGAAGTCTCGTTTGTTTCGTGAATTTTCCTCAGAAAAATTGTTTTTGGATTTCTACACGAGGGCTATCTGCGCTAGCAGTCCCTAATTTAGCAGTGTAAGACTGCTAGTCATCACCACCCACCGCCAACTCTTGATTTGGAGTGACGGGGATTCGAACCCGCGACCCTCAGATTGCGAGTCAAACATCCAAACCACTTGGCCCCTCAGAAAAAGAAACATTTTTGTTTTTTAATACGTGTTTCTCAGATTGACTGTTCAGCACATACGAACACTGACGGATCGATGTTGATATGAAATTTTAGGAATTGCAAAACATGAGTAATTTTCCTGTAATGTACTCTTGAAAATAAGTGTTTTGATATGTAATTCTTTGTACGATTAACCGTTACGGAGATACAAAGTGTGACAGACAGACATTTAGCTATCATTATACATAGAGATGATGGCTATTTAAAGGTTTCAAGAAATGGAGATGTTAATTTTGTATTGCTGAGTGGTTACCAGAAATTATTACTCACAACAAAATAAAAAAGTACTGTTTGTTATGCCCATTACAGTTTACTACTAGTCATTACTATATGGATTTTGTTTCAAATATATGTAAAGGTAGTTCATTTTTGACCTTTTTTAAGTGTACTGGCGATCAGAAAGTTGTATGTACCCGATTCAGTTTATCACATGTGAAAATAATTAAAATTCCAAGAAAATGTTTAAGAGCGGTTGGAAGAGCAATTGAAGTAACACACAACAATTCCTAATAAGTAGAACGATTACAAAGCAAGATATGACAGTTAATTTTACCGAGAATTCCGTGTGATAATTTAGACAAATATTTTTATATTAAACATTTTTTTCGCTTGGTCTTTTGTGTCTAATTTAATATTAGTACCTCTACATCCCCAAAAGCGAATTTTTGACATGCTAGCCTACTGCAGCTTTAAGTAAATCAATACTCTTATTATAATTGAGCTTGCGATGTATATGTCCAAAACTCGTATCTCGGAAACTACCGCACCAATCATAACTGGGTTATATTTTTATAACTATGCGGTATTTTTATAGCTGAGCAATAAATAAAACAATTGAAATTTCCACAAAAATGATATGTTTCAGATTTAACCAATAAAAATTACAAAAAAGGAGTAAGTTACAAATATAAAACAATCAAAAAATATTTGTTTTTCTTCAGTGAAAATCTCACGAGTGTTGCAACAGAAATGCAATGTACTTTCATTGATAACTGTGTCTACAAAGAAATACTTCAATAAAATCTTCTCTCTGATGTAATGCTGTGATGATAACTCATTTTTAAACTAAAATTTCAATAAAATCCTTATTCTCATGTACGGTGAAGATTTTGGAATGTCAAGTATGTTGTAGAACTGTCACAATTCCAGAAAAGGCCGCAGGCCCAATAGCCTTCCGTAGGAACTAACAGTTATACCTGCCCGGAGGGCGGGTATTTCTGCTAGTAATAACAATTCCCTATTAGACATATATGTATAAATATCTAAAAAAAAACACTATCTGATGTTAAAAGACGGAAAACACGATACAGGTGTACGTAAAATCAAAAGACAAAATCATGTAACGATTCTTTAAATAATAATGACATTCACAGGACCTACCTAAAAAATTAACCTACAAGTACTGAAAATAAAATGAAAGAATTCGCTTTACTGTTTTTAGTGAATATAACTTATAAATCGCTGTAAACAACTACGTAAAAAAAAAAGGAGTTAACCTTATTATAATAATGGGAATGCTAGCATCGGTCTAAATAGGCATGTATGTATTTCGTTTTAACGTTTTTGACAAGTCAAACTTACGCAATCGTTGTAGTCCGTTACATAAGATAAAGCTAGTAAAGCTCATTCCCCATTAGAAGGGTGCGCGAACTAGGGGTGCTGAGGGTGCGGTTGACGTATATGGGTACTGCGCATGCGTAGTTCCCATAATATACATATATTAGGACGAAATAAATGTAAACGTAAATGTTTAAAGTAAAATATTAAATGATTAATGACGTCACACACTTAATAAAATCCATGTACATACAGCTTATTGTAATAGATTATACTAATTTCTTTGTTGATGGTTATCACAAAACCTTTTCAACAACAGTTTTCCATCGTGTTGTTATGTAAACAGTAAAACTACTTACCGAATAAGAAGTGAAAATTGATAAAAAAACAACAATTTTTTAAAAATACTTCAGTTTATGTAGGTCACCACTTGGATGGGAGATTGTAAGCCTACACGTAGTTTTCACTGTATTTAAAACACTTCAACAACTTTAAACACTTGCCAAAAGTTATATCGTACAGTTTATAAAATAGGGATAGCAGTTATTCCAAAACTTACAGAAAACAACGTACACACAATACTCGAGTCTCCCCTCCCCCCTCCACAAAAACAACAACAACAACTGCTGGAACTCGTTAAATCATTCCAACATCAGTTAAAAATTAAGCAAAAATTGCTTACCTCTGCAAGAGTTTTTTTGTTTTGTTAACGAAGGCTAAATAAAAAATTGTCAAAAACGAAAAATTCAAATGCTAAGTTAACGAAATAAAAACAAAAAGCTAAAAACAAGTGATGTTTAAAAACAATAGTTTCTGTTCGGAAGCCATTTTTCAGTATTTAATCCCTGTCATTATGGCATAACTAATCAGCTTATCATACTGTAATGTAGATGTGTAAAGGAGGAGGGGTGAGGTGGGGGATAAGTATCCAACTATCTACAGTAGAGATTTGCTTCCTCAAGTTCTTAAAATAATAATATTGTTTAATTATTTACTTGCCCCATCAGCTTCCAATGTTTGTCGAGCCTAAAGAGAAAAATGTAAATTGAGTCACATCTATCGACCAAAAATACCCAACGTTTCATCCCGTTTTATTCTCATGCAGCGCGAGTTTGTTGTTTCAGCACTTCAGGGTGAGGCGATATTATTTTGATACATATTCACATGTATGTGTAGTGAAATTTAAACAGTTTGCTGTAAAAAAAAAAAAGATGTATTTATGCTAAAAAAAGGTTACTTTTTCCAAAAAGTAACGCAATAAATGTTC